AGCTAGTTGACAATTCATCAGGATTTCAGCTATTGTCGTTTATGGATGCGTATTCGGGGTACAACCAGATTCCGCTACACCTCGATGACCACGAGAAAACCGCCTTCATCACCGAGAAGGGCAACTTTTGTTACAAAGTCATGTCTTTCGGTCTCAAAAATGCGAGGGCGACATATCAGCGGATGATGAACCGCGTTTTTCAAGGGCAGATTGGAAGAAACCTTGAGGTATACATCGACGACATGATAGTCAAGTCGTCGCAAATGTCTGCACATATAAACGACCTCAGGGAAACTTTTGAGCAGCTGAGAGCTCACAGGATCAGGCTGAACCCAGCGAAATGCGCCTTTGGGGTACCAGCTGGAAGTTCCTGGGCTTCATGCTTACCAACTGGGGAATACTTACCCAAATCGACAGAAAAGGCTTTGCCTTTCTTCAAGCTTCTCAAAAAGGAAGCCGAATTCGGATGGGGAGCAGAATGCAAGAACGCATTCGAAAATATTAAAAGTTGCCTGGCCACTCCTCCTGTATTGTCCAAACCAGAACCTGGAGAAACGCTGATCTTATACTTGTTAGTCGGGGAAGAGGCCGTCAGTGCCGCCTTGGTACGAGAAAATGACAGATCACAGCAGCCGATCTACTTCGTGGGTCGGGCCTTGCAAGGGCCTGAGCTTTGTTACCAGAAGCTCGAGAAAGTCGCATTCGCACTGCTTACCACGGCGAGGAGGCTCCGACCTTACTTTCAGAGTCACCGAGTTGTTGTGCGTACGAACCAGCCCATCAGGCAAGTCCTCCACAAACCGGACCTCGCTGGCAGAATGATAAACTGGGCAGTCGAACTCTCAGAGTTCGACATTGCATATGAGCCCAGGCAGGCGATAAAGTCCCAAGCGCTGGCCGATTTCATCCTGGAGCTAACCCCATCCAATGAAAAGGAAAAAGGAAATGAAGATTTCTGGGCAATACGCGTGGATGGGTCGTCTAACTCCAAGGGGAGCGGAGCCGGGGTAATCATTGAGACCCCGGAAGGAGTGTCCATCGAGCATTCACTTCACCTGGCCTTCTCGACTTCTAATAACCAAGCTGAGTACGAGGCATTTATTGTCGGAATCATACAAGCAAGAGAACATGAGGCCAGAAAAATAAAAATTATGAGTGATTCGCAGCTGGTTACCTCACAAGTTGAGGGAAAATATCAAGCCAAGGGTCCTCTCATGATGAAATATCTCCACCAGGTCAAGGAACTGCTAGCCTATTTTGACGAGGTGATAATTCAATACATACCTCGGAACGAGAATGACAGGGCCGACATCTTGTCCAAACTTGCCAGCTCAAAGGGCCCAGGAAATCATCGCACCATGATACAACAGAGCATTTTGGAGCCGACATGTATGATGGTGATTACCGAGACTGAGGATTGGAGAAGACCCATAGTGGCCTACCTGGAAAAAGGAATCCTGCCAGATGAAACGCAAGAGGCCAAAAAACTCGTGAGGAATGCGGCCTGTTTCACCATAGTAGAAGGGCAACTCTACAAGAAGGGTTTTTACACGCCCATGCTGAAGTGCCTAGGCAAGAGCGAGGTCGAATACGTGCTGGCCGAGATTCATGAGGGAATAAACGGACATCACATGGGAGGAAAAGCCCTGGCCAGAAAGGCACTGAGGGTAGGATACTATTGGCCAACTATGGAGGCAGACGCGAAGGAGCACGTCGAAAGGTGCGAACAATGTCAGAAGCACGCGCTGATCCTCCGTGCTCCCCCAGAGGAGTTGCAAAGTATCACGACTCCGTGGCCGTTCTTCAAATGGGGGATGGACCTACTGGGGCCCTTCACTGCGGCTGAAGGTCAACTCAAGTGCCTAATAGTAGCTGTTGACTACTTCACCAAGTGGATCGAGGCTGAACCCCTCACCACCATTACCTCGGCAAGGATACGGATATTCTTTCAGAGAAACCTAATTAGCCGATTTGGGCTTCCTGCCAAGAAAATAACAGACAACGGAACGCAGTTTGCTGACAAAAAGTTCCAAGAGTTGATGACCGATCTCAAAATCACACACCGGTTTGCATCACTCGAACACCCTCAAACTAATGGACAGGCCGAGTCTGCCAACAAGGTGATCATCAATGGGCTGAAGAAGAGGCTTTTCAGGCCAAAGGCAATTGGGTTCAGCAGCTACACCTCGTCATATGGGGTTACAGGACGAGTGCCCAGTCTGCTACGGAAGAGACCCCCTTCAAGCTAACATATGGGTGCGAGGCTATGATCCCGGTGGAAATCGGCGAGCCATCCTGGAGGAGGAACCAGAGGCTGCAAGGAACCGAAAGCCAAAACAAGGAAGCACTCCTTGTAGAACTCGACCTACTGGATGAGTGCAGGGAGAACGCCAGATACAAAAACATGATGGCCAAGCGTTTGATAACGGCCAGGTTCAACAAAAAGGTCAGACCTCGGTCGTTTCAGAGCGGCGACTTGGTACTGCACAGAGCAGACATCGGCAACAAGAATGCGAAAGATGGGAAGCTCGCCGCAAACTGGGAAGGTCCCTATAAGATCAAGGATGATCTGGGAAAGGGAGCCTACACCTTGGAAACTATCTCCAAAAAACCAGTAAAGAGGACTTGGAACGCGGACAAGTTGAAGATCTACTACAGCTAGGTTCCAGGCTCGAGGTTCGAAATAGAAAACGAGCTATTAGGCTCGATTGATAATTAGAGTTATTTCTACGCCATAAGACGAGTTATTAAGCTCCGTCGGTAGATAGATTTATTTTCAGGCAAATAAAACGAGCTTATAAGCTCAACCCTTGTACAAAAGATTTCGTTGAAATGCAAATAAAGCAGTTAATCCATTTCTGTCGTATATGCATATCGATTTCTGCGTAGAGAGATTGAAGCCTCAGGAGCTTCCTGACCGAAAGGGAATAAAGTTTTGTTGACGAACAAAAAATAACCTTAAAATCGGCTAATGAAAAACCTCGACAAAGTATAAGTCGAGTGTGACGAGATCGAAATAAGCACTTCAAGCATGAATAAAAAAGAAGCAACGATCTCGGAAAATGAAATTAACGACATACGATTTAAAAAGCCGAACTAAAGCGGAAATTATGTTCCGACAAAAAAAAAGAAAAAAAAAAAGGGGAGCTCAAGGGCTCCGTAATCAAAACAACACAATAAGGTCGACATTCCAACCCCTTCATTCTGCAGCAGGAGGTGAAGCGGCGTGAAATTGGGTTCCGACCTCGCCTTCATTAGCGTACTCGGCATCTGGGGTTCCAGGGACTATTATGCCGTCCCTAACCTCATAGGATACGTCCATGCCATCCACCACCATGCCAGGGTTTAGAATTTGAGCCTGAGCAATAGCATTGTCGAAGGCTTGAATAGCGGCTCTTGCAACCACAGCTTTAGCCTCTTCAAAATCGGCTTGCAGGTCAGCAAGTCGAGCATCCTTCTCCGCCATAGACTTTGAGAAGGACTCCTTCTCGGCACGCAAGTCATTGGCCTCGACGGTAACCACCTCCAAGTCCTTTGTAGCCTTATCTAGGTCCGAGGACAGGTCTTGAATTCTGCCCTCCAAAGTCGACTTAGACCTGCTCAGCTCCTCTACCTTGACGGAAAGAGATGAGTTAGAAGCAATAGACAAATCGAGGCTCTGATTAAGATCCTGAAAGGTTTGGAGCAATGAGATCGTCTTCAAAGAATCTTCTTCCATTCGTGCTAACATGGCCCTCACAGTAGTGGTCAAGCCCGAACTTCCAATGAGCCCAGAAGGAGGCTTGAGTACGACCCTAAGGCGGTCCGAAACCCCCGTTCTCCATAATTCCCCAGGCTCAAGGCTGACCAAATTCCCTGGGAGAGCAGAGGGGGGAACTGAGAGCGGCGACGAAACGGGAGCTCGCGCATCAACCATGGTCACCCCGGCATCGGCCGAGTTACTGTCGAGTATGGAATCTATCCGCCTTTTCTTCGGAACTCCAGACTCAAGAGCGGCAGACTCTTTCGACTTTCCCTTTATGGTTTTCTTAGGCAAAACTTCTTATATTCGGCAGAGGTCATGCTGACTGCAAAGGAAAGAAGAAAAGTCAGAACGCAGGTTATCAATTTGCAAGGCAAGTTGAACTGTAACAAAAGATAAAAAATAAAATGAGCTACATACCAAGCTCAAAAACGGTATCCTCCCCAAACCTATCTACAACCCGAATTAAGTCAAAAACGCCGAACTGGTCGGTATATTCAATAAGAACTCGAACCGCTAGAAGTTCCGAGCTGGAAAGGGCAGTCAAAGGAGTGCCGTAGTCCTTTGGACGCCTTTGATAATGTCTCGGCGTCCAGTATAGTTCAAACCGAGATGAAATGCCGCCATCGTCGAGCCACTCCTCGGCAAACCAGGGAAGAGACTCAGAACGAGATACCACCTTAAAATAGGCATCCTTGAAACCCTTACAAAACTGGGAGTAAGGAATAAAAATCCCTCTGCCAGGGCTACCTCATAGGGTAACCCATCCTTTCTTGGCCTTGGACTCGGCGCCAGTACGAAAGGTATATACATTAAAGAAGAAGAGGAAAAGAGCAACGGTGCAGGGGAGGCACAAGTAGGCACACACCTGCTCAAAACCCCGAACGAAAGCCCATGAATTTGGGTGGAGTTGCGAGGGTGCAACCCTAAGACGTCGAAGAACTGACATTTGAAAGTCGGTAAAAGGGAGCCAGATACCTAGTTTGGTAACAAGATCTCGGTAAAAGTAGAAGAAATGAGGCTCATCTAGTATAGGACCTGAACACACAGGAAAGTCGCCAGGCGGAAGAAGATCAACCCCGGTGGGGTCTCCCACAGGGAGTTGGGCCACCTCGGAAGGAGACATTGTGGACCGTCTTTGGAGAACTTCAAGAAGGACCCAATATTGAGCGTCCGACCCGTCCATGATGATATTCCTGGAATATGAAGGACAAAGATCAGTACACATGTCAGCCGAGTCCGACCTGGGACTACCAGCCTCGGAACGAGGCGAAGACGAACTCCAAGAGAGAGGAACAGAGCTATCCGAACTACTGACAAGGTCGATTAACGAAACCCGACTTGATGCAGAGTCTTTTAAGGAGGAAGGGGTGACCGACTTAGGAATTCCAAGCTCGGACGAAGAGAGGCTGAATGAGCTAGCGCTCAAGTCAAGAGGAGGAATCCGATCCAAAACGGACATCGTACCAGAAGCCACCCCAGAGGATGGCAGAATAATGGACAGCGGAACTGGTTCAGGAAAGGAGCTCAGTCTAGGAGCTGAGGGATTCATTGAGGAAGGATTGCTCAGGCCAAAATCAAGCCGTGACTGACGACCCCTTCTAGGTCGGCTTGTTCCCCTCCTACCTCGGCCTCCGCGAGAACCACGAAGGCCCCCACGAGGACCACGGAGAAGCTGTTGAAGCTTCTCCTCCTCGGTGTATTCTCTACCGAAGAAGCAGTACTGGACAGAGCGAGGTAAATGGCTCACCGCCTCTTCCTCCCCCATGCCACCTGGCTGGGATGCCGGACCAGAGGAAGAACTAGGGGCACTCATTATGAACCCTCAACACCCCAAAGAGGAAAGTACAAACCTCACCTTCGGTTTTAGATGAGACAAAAAAAAAACCTCACAGTGCAACCTAACCAAACCGAAAAATAGAACAACGGGGAAAAGCAAAATAAACAGAAAGGTACCTGAACTTAGGAGCAAAGATGGTGAGAACTAGACTCAATGAACAGAAACCTTCACTGGATGCAAGGGGAGCTCCACGAGAATTTACCACAGGAAAAACTGTAAAGTCTGGAACCCGTTGAGAAAATGGTATTTAAAGGGACGACGAATGACTTGGGCGCTAAGGCGAAGGGTCTTCTCTTCAAACGGTTATGTGAGGAAGGGGGGGGTAAAAAGGGGAATTTACCCTGGAAGCATTAAATGCACCCCATCATAACCTGCACAAAGTTAAAGCAGTACGCTCTGCACAATGCACGAATTACCAATGAGCGCAAAACACGTGGATTGCCATAACCGTCACAGCAGACATGATGCGAAGGGTCAGATGCGAATGGTCAGGATAAGGCCCAGCCCCGAGTTCCGTGATCAAATAGCGCTTGAGTTTCATGTCCCGATGCGACAACTCGGTTAGCACGAAGAAAGATAAGTGCAAAGAATTTAGGCAATATCCGACATGATCAAATCCGACTTCAAGTGCAAACGTCATGGAAGTGTAGTGAGCGTAATCTTGACAACTTGACCAGATTAAAGTGTCGACATCAAAATCTCGGAAATCCAAATTCGAAGAATAGACTCGGATTAATCGAATCCATGGTGACGCAATGGAACCTCGGCATCCCGAACCTCGGAATACCGAGCTGGGGGGGCAACTGTTATGGATATGCATGTCATATCCCAACTACCTACTAGAATGTCTGGTAAGATATGGAATCAGTAATATCTCAACAACTCCAAACAGTCAAAGGATATAAGATAAGGATCACATCCCAACAGATAGAGGTGGAATCCTACTATAGTTGGGGGATCTCAAAAGGCACAATCCTAGGAAGGTAATCCTATAAATAAGAGCCTAAGGACCCCAGGTAAACATTCAGAACTCATTTATTACTTCTGCCCACACTGTGCACACACCCACCCCTTGGCTATAAGCCTATTGCTTGTGCGCAGTGATTGGGACCTCGGCTATAAGCCTAGTATACATTTGATATACACTATCTCTGAGCGCATACCTTACGGTATAGCAAAACGGTCTATCCAGGACCGAACACATAGCAACATTTTTCGTCATTCAATTCCATGTTAATTTAAGAGTTTTCTAATAGTAATCCATTGTGTGTACAAATGGATGCGTGGTGTAAGTGAACTCTCGTAATTTCCACAAACTTACATATAAATTCATTTTTCTCTATCATAAGATAACAAATGAATAATTTTTTTGTCGGTTAATGTGAACTTGTTTAATTCATTTTCAAAAACTAATAAACTGTTCTCCAAAACTTTATTTCTTTTGAATATATTAAAAAATGTATATATATGGTTAATCTTGTCAAGAGGTTATCTCATGAAATTATTTTCATCTCATCAAATTTTCTCTAATAGCATAAATTAGAAAATATCATAATAAAAAACAAGCACATAATGTTATAGAGAAATCACAAAATCTTGGGAATGAATCCTCCCACATTAAAATTTCACATGATCTAGTCATATAAATTTTTTATGTCCTACCCGAC